GGTGTGTGCCTCATATCAGTGGTGTGAAGCCAGGGTGAATCACAAGTGAGGCGCTGGTGTCCCTTTTATCCCGCCAGGAGGACAGGATAGCAGGGCATTCCTGAGCCTACCCTTGCCTCCAGATGCTGCCCGGCTTTGGGACTGCAGCCTTGGCATTGCTGATCCCCCTCAGAGGGAGCTCAGGCTGCTGGGCTGTTCTAAAGGGACTGGCCCTTGGCCTCTGTTCATGGCAGTGTAGGATGAGTCCTTGTAACTCAGGAAAGCTCTTTCCACCTCTCCTGCCCAAAAAACATGACAGAGGCTTTCTGACAACACACTGCAAATTCTCCTTTCTGCAAGCCCTCTTTCCCAAAGTACTTGAGTAGCTCTTTATTTGCTGCTAGCTCAGAGCCCGAAATATTTTATTCATTCTGCAGGTAATAAGTTACCCAGCTGTAAGCACAGGGTCGATACCAAATGCAGATATCCATGGCAAAATGGAGAAACCCAGCCCTTCATGGATAGTAGACTTTTCACAGTCGCTAGTTGGGTGTTACTGCTACTTACTGTGACACAAATTAGGAGCTGTTCTGAAGTTAGCGATGCTCCAACATTGGTGATTACAGTCTTGGAGACCTTGGTAAAAGAACTCCTGCTGCAGGGATTTCAGGTCATTAGTTTTACTTCTAATGAAAAGGTTAATGATCCACTTACAGTCTAGACAATTGTATGGACACACAAGGAACTGGGTTAGGATCTGAAAAAATGAACAAATGCTTGCACTGTGAGGTAAAGCACTTTCAAATAAACAGAATTTTTGGAGCTCCTCACAGACAAAATTTTGATGATCACCAGCCAGACGGACTTCTCTAAAAACAAGGAGTGCTTATTGAAATCCAGCAAGTTGTATGCAGAGAGAAAAATGATTGCTGTGAAACTAGTTGTTTTCAATTATAAAAACCAAACAACTCGGAATGTACAGGGGTTTTCATGTAATTATCTTCTAAAGGGCCTTCAAAGAAGAGCTTTGCTTCAGGACCCTTGCCAGGAGGAGCTCTGCAAGAGGCTGGAATTTCAGTGAGGAATGGCATACTGCTGCGCAACAGCAGCGCATCTGTTGTGAACAGCAGCTGCTGCACAGCACTAAGCATTGTACACAGTCTCACTATTTACAGACAATCTTTTGTATATTATCTGTGTTCTGGAGCCACCAGTGAAACTATTGTGTGAGTTTTTCTTAGTAGAATCATCATGCGTGTTTCAGATACTTGTCTTAAAGTAGTATAGTTAGACAAAGGTATTAAAATATCCCAGAGTTCTTGAGGTGTTGACTAAACACTCGGTATTACCATATAAAAAAACATTAAGACTTTCATCAGAGAGTGGGTTACTGTGCTAATGAACTCAGAGCAACATGTTGTCTGTAACAATGAAACTTTAAAGTTTGTCCTTGTTGTAGCATGTAAAATCTTTCCTCTGAATGTAAAACGGATGGATTAGCTCCATTCATCATTGAAAGATGTTGAAAATTGTAGTGTTTACTTTGTAAATCATGATGCTTCTCAGGAAAGTGAAGAAGTGAATTGTTAGAACTAGTACAGAGATTCTCACTACAGCAGAGAAAGCAAAAAAGAAATACTTGGAAAGCATTTTCAGCTGACCCCTTTGATAAGACTAAGTTGCGTGACATATCTGATGTGGAAGCAGAAATTGTACAGCAATAGGAAGTTGTTATCTCCATATCTCAAACGCTAACACAGTTCCCCCAGTCAACTGTGAGATAGATCTACTCTTGTTATGACAGCTGTTGGAAACTGATGTCAGTATAACTGTGCAATGCCTTTTGATAATCTTAAGTATTACAAACCTTAAAATATGTTTATGATGTTATCTAAGGCACACTGTTTGGAAATAGCTCCATTTATAATCAGAAATTGCTCAAGTTATTTTTATAAATAAATCATATACTTGTGAGTTTCCTAGTCAGATTTGCTTGAAAAAGCATTGTGAACTTTTTGTTTCTGAAGGCTTAAGCCTGAGGATTAATTAATGTTTATACAGCTCTTAGTAAAAGCAAAGTTACTAGTGCCAAGAATTATTACTATTTAATCTTTAAAAGTCAGATCAATGACAGGTTAACTGTCAGAGAACTGCTATTTAAAACAACAAAAATGTTGAAAATCCTCTTCCCACCATGCTTGAATGTGTTCAAGTGCACTTTCATTTCAGCCTCACTTACATACAGACAAGCAAAGATATTTTTCAGTTTAATTGGGTTGACGCCCATCTTTGTTTAAATATCTGGGGAGATTACCTAAAATCCTAGGCACTTTTTACAAAATGAAAAAAAACCTCTGTTTCTTAAATGCATTTTCAGGGCCCAAATGTTATAAATTATTATCTATGCAAATCCTACTCAACAGTGTAATCTATCTGATTAGCCAGAGCTCCTTCTGTGTGCAACTTCACCCATTTGTGTGATAGGTCAGGTCCTTGAAGTGATAGTTTCATTGTATTAGACTTGCAGAGCTATTTTGACTTCTGAGGAAAAAGACTCCTTGCGTTATTTTTTAAAATTTGCTTCCCTTGCTACTTTACACCAAGCAGAGGTAAGGTTTAGAAACAAATTTTCTCAGAAAATAAATGTACATATTGGAAAACAAGCAACAAGCAAGAGGGGACTGGAAAGGCAGAGAAGCTCATCAGTGAAGCATAGAATTAACAAATAAAGCTATCTTTTCGGGGTTACAGGAACATGTTTTAGTACATCATTGTTACTTAGGGAGAAATGCTAAATTTTGCTTTGGCTATGCCTTAAATTATATTCTTCCTTGACAGCTATACACATATTATTCATACTAAGTGCTAATTACTTTCCTTATAATATAATTGACTTGTTAAGTAAGAATATGAATTAATTGGTGGCATAGAAATTAAATGATACCAAGTCAGGCCTAGTTAATCTGTGTCTGTTGTATTATCTCTTGATATTCAGTAAATTGAAGTTTTATATATACAAATATAGTTTTAATTAAAAGAAACAAATTTTGCAGACTGACTAATGAAAGCTAACTACATTTATCTGTAAGTGTTGCTAACTTGATCTTACTCAGATGCAAGAAGACTGTTAAAATTTGGGTTTGCATGCTGCACTATGGTACATACTGAAATATGAACATCTTGAAGGACCTGTGGCCTGGTAGACCTCTCAAAGAATTGCTTTCAAGTGATGCTTAACAGCTATAATTTATGCTGACTTTTAGTTGCAATTTGTTAATAAGCATATTCAAGATTTATAAACACTTAAATTTAGACTTAAGAATATATAAGTCAATATTGCTAGCCACCATTAAGACTAGATCTTCAAAGACCTTAGTGTCTGGAATGTATGCAAGTCCGGGCCCAATTATGGGTTCTAAGTTCTTCTGAAAATCTAAATTATATTTAAATACTACAGAAGGAGTTTGAGTCTTATTTTAACAATCTGACTCCAGCTGCAGGCACAGAACACTCATGGATTTGGCCCAAACTCACACAAAGATCTGCCCTTTTAAAACTGCAAATGTGTGAATAATCCTTCAAAAGATTGTTCCCATATAATGAATTTCTGGAGAAGATGCCTTAAAATTTCTTCAACACAATACTTTTCATAAATATGCGTTTGAGGAACAGAATACAAATCACTGTGAATGGAAATTGCATCACTAAAATGCAGCAAAACTTTACAAAGTTCAGCAAAACTAGCTGTTGGCTCTAGACAAACCTAAGATTTCTTTAATATATTTATTAAAATACCTTAGAGGAAACTTCTATCATCAGGTTAAAAGATTACTTTTATTTCAAATTTCATATGGTACAGCTGAACTATAATCTCTTCAATCTTAAAATAAAACCATTTCCTTTTGTGTATAAGGATGTTGTATTTATAAATTTAGTTCTAATAACTTCTGGAAGTGGGGACTTTTTTCATCTCAAGTATGGAACTATTAGGCTTAAATGTGTTGTATGAAGAAATCACAGTTTAATAAATGCACTGAGAGCAAACAAAGTATTACAGTGTGTAGGAGATATGGTTGGTCTTTCCCTAGAAAATAAGTACTCCCCTTAGTCATGTAATACATGTATTCAAATACAAATTTACAAACTTATAGATGGTATGAATAAGAAGTGCAACCCAAAATAATACATACCCCCAAATCATTGAAAAATACTTTTGCTTCAAAAGTTTGCTTCAGTTTTCTATCTATTATTTTAGATAGTCTATTCTCAATATAATTCTGCCCAAGAGCTGCAAAGAAAATGCTGCATAAATTACAAACAATCTTTTGAACTTTGTACACACAGTGATGTGCAGTACCATTGTTTATGTGAACTTTATAATTTCTTAAAATCTTGTAACACAAAACTGAAAAAAACTCCGAAATTCAGTACCTGTTATCTGATGAAGTTTTCCAGTGCCAGAGTTTCTGCAGCTTAATTTCACACCGCCGGAGCTTCTGTATTAAATGCTTTTGCCTCCTAAAAAAAAAAAAAAAGAAAAAAAAAGAAAGAAAGAAAAAAAAAGTATGTCGGCACAAGCCCAGACGAAACTCCAAATCCGGGAAAATAAAATTAACCATGCAGATCAAAGGCAGACGAGCACTGAGACCAAATGCCTGTAATCTGATCAGTGATCAGTTGCCGTACATCAAAGGCAGTGCTTTGGCGAGGAAAAAGAGCTCCTTTTCCAGCAGGTAGTTGCACTGAAATTCTGCCTTTCAGTGCTCTGCACTAGCTCTTTCCCCTCTTTCGTTCCTTGTGCTGGGAGAATGCACACGATTCTGAAATGCTTGGGGTTGAGTGGCTGGATCTGTAGCTTTTGAGTTCCCAAGCTGTGTTGTGGATTGTGTGTTGGAAGCTTTCCCCAGTGCCAGCGGGTTCCGCTTTATCCCTTTCATCTCGCTGAGCTGCAGATCCCATGACATCATTCAATGCTGTGGGACTGGTTAGAGAGCTGTAATACAGCCTGTGGGGGAATGCAGCTAAAGAGCAGCAAGAGTTTGCATGATTTCTAATCAGGTTAGTCCATTGTAACAAACCCAAGGCTCACTTCAAAGTCTTCACTACGTTTACGTTTTCTCCCGAGAAGGGAGAATATTGTAGCTATAAAGTTTTCTTTAAAAGATGCTTTCTAATTTTGTCTGCAAAAGGAAGTTATAGTCTTCCATAAAGTTCTGAAAGTCAGACATGAAGGTCGGTTTGCTACAGCTGTAAGACACGAGAGAAACCCACTTTTGTTCGTCTCTTTGTCGAGATTTGGAACAGAGAAAATGGTGTATTTTGCAGGCTGGCATTGGAGTTTTGCACTGGCAAAACCAAGCACAATAGAGCATGCTCTTAGTCCCTGGCTCACGTCCTCCCTTGCTGCTTACTGTGTGGCCTTTTGCAAATCATTTTATTTGAGCCTGATTCATCTGTGGCTCATGATTCCTTTACGTAAATGAGCTGTGAAGCTGCCATAAGTAACTCACAGAAGCGGTTTTTTCAGTGTAAAGGCATTTTTTTAGCTAGAGCAGATTTGAAGTGGTCACCACTGCACTTCCGCAGAGGGAGGTTTTTGGGGGGCATGAAAGCATAAGGACGGACACTCTCCGTGCTGCTGCAGGGCATGGTCCCGAGGATTGCTGGAGGGTTCTGTGTAGCCCTGGCTACAGGGGAATCCCCAAGGCTGCTGTGACTTTCCCTCTTGCAGCGCAGAGGAAAGGCAGAAGAAATGTACCACTGAATTTCATATTCTGTGATCTAAGTTAGCTTTTGGCACAGAGATCAATTCAGCCCTCTGCGCTCCAGCTGTTAATAAAACATACAAATATCAAGCAGGATGGATTTTAGGATAATCACCCTTATTGAAGATGTCACTGAAGTTCCCATGCACACATATCCCATACTTTGGGCACACCACGTGCAGATGAAAGCGATACGAGCCTGTCAACTGGTAGACGCATGCAAATATTTGCACACCGAGCAACCGAGAATTCATTTAAAAGGCAAAAGTGAAACGAGGCAATACACTAGACCCAGTTGCCTAAAGCGTTGAAACAAAAGCAAACAATCAGCGCGTAATGGGTGCTGGATGGCCGAGCTGGGAGCGATGGAGCGCCCGCTGGCCATCCCTGGTTCTGCTCCCTGTGTGTGGGCTGCAGCCTCCTCGCCCTCCGCGCTCGCCCCCCGCTCCTTGCCTTGCGCAGCCCCCCGCTCCTGATCCCGCTCCTGATCCCGCTCCTGATCCCGCTCCTGATCCCGCTCCTGATCCCGCTCCCTGTCCCTCTCCCTGTCCCTGTCCCTTCCCCGCTCCCGCCGCCCGGGGATGGCGCTCCCGCCGCACTCGGTGGGATAGGGAGCCTTCTGCTGGAGGGATGGCGCACTGTGGGCAGCACCGGGCCGGCAAGGAGCGCTCTGCTTCCCGGAGATGGCAAGGAACATTTCCAGAAAGACTCGAGATCCTCACAAAGAATGCCGCAGAATGTAATTGTGTTGCTAGCTGGAAGGGATTTAAATATTGGTTTGGGTCACCAATGCAGGCAGGCCTTTGAGGGATGTTCTGGTAACTGAGATGGAGAAGAGATGATGCACATACAAAGGAGTATAGTGCAGGTCATGAATCTGACTTTCAGGTACACACTGCTGGAAAAAACTTGAACAAACTATATATTTCTCTCTTTCTCTAATTTCCACTTCCATCTATTTTAAATAAAGAAAATTTATCCAGGCTGCTTATTTCTCTTTCAACATTAGTTTGTGCTCTTCTGACATACAACCCTCTATCACCAGAAAGCATTTTGATAAGACTCCATTTGTAGCTTTTGTGGTAAAACTGGAAATGCTTGTATTGAAATAAAATCTATGGGTGGGCTGTGCAGAACTAAAATAACCCTTTTAATTTCAAAGGTGCTTTAAGAACAATGTTCTTTACAGGAAGCACCTTTTTTCTCTCTGGATTTTAAGTAAAAGCAAGTCCTGATGGTTTATTAGAGGTCTTTGGTCTTTCTTTCATACATATGAAAAGGAGAAGTAAGGTTAATTATTGCCAATTTAACCTTCTAAAGCTGAAGCATTGCATTTTGCATTTATGACACTACTTTTCACTGGGGAGCATGTCAGCCTGAACTACCTGCTATTTCCTATTCCACGGCTCTGCAAAATTTGGCCAGATGTGTGTAATAGTAACAACAATTTTCTCAACAGTTCAATGTTTTTCCAAAAGCTGATGAAGATTTTTTTTCTCCTTACATAAAATGAAGATAATATTGTATAAAGCCCGGAACAGCCCAGAAACAGAACCTACCTAAGATGACACTTCACTTTTATACTTTTTGATCATCAGCTCATGCTTTCTCTTGTAGTCACTAACCTAGCAAGGCATTCAAGCACAAGTAGTCTGAAATCCATTAGGTTCCCCTCTAGATACTTGATTCTAATCACTGAAATTACTGGGGTAGAAACAGAGAAACTGAGGACCCAACATTACTCACTCTCTAGGTATCCTTTTCTGGAAGAAGCACTTGTGATTCCTGTGTGAAACCAGAGAGGTGTCTCCGAAGTCCTGCAGAGGGAGATGCTCTCTTCCTAATTAATTGCTTAAATTTCTCTAAATTTAGACAGGTTTTTCCTTGAGAAATATTAAGTGGGTTTTTCCTTCTCTTTTTACCGCATGAGGATCTCAGGCTCTTAGATTCCTCTTTAAGGATTTTTAGGGAAACAGAACAAAGTGCCAGTGCTTAACTGGGTCAAAGCCATAAAAAATAGTCAGTTGATGGAAATAAGAACTTTCTAGAGGTGTTTCTTAAGTATAACTAAATATTGGGGGAAATTATTTGTGGAAGAAACAATCAAATCAAACAGAGGGGTTTGTACCCCTGCTCCATTCTTAGCATATCTAATATCTAATATTCAAGCTAAGCCTTATACACTTGTATCACATCAAATGATTTATCATATTGCTTTACACAGGTGCTGTCTGCACCTCTTTGCTGCACCTCTTTCCTTTGCTTTCCCTCAGTACATAGGAGCTCCAGCAGACGTTCAGAGAGGAGGTCAGGAATCACCACAGGAAAGGCAGTGCCATTGTTACAGCCCACTCAGTGGCCATGCAGCCGTTGTTTGTGGCAGCTGCAGCCTTTCTAAGTGTGGCATAAATTCTGGATATCCTATTATAAATATCACACAGCCAGCATTGTTGCAGTTTCAAGCTTTCATCGTGCACATCTACTGTGGCTGCTGTCCACTGTTGATAAGTGGTGAGATGCTGATTTAGAGAGGTGGAAGACCATTTCCAGAACCTTTTATGGCAGGTCAGCACTATCTCTGAAGCAATGCTTATCTATCCTGGTCCCAGTTGATGTCAGAAGTGCTGATCATTGCTCTCCTAAAGCATTAGGGGGATATTGTTCTGTAAGGCAAGTCGGTCCTGTGGTCAGGAGAGATGTTTTAGAATACCCAAATCCAACCTCCTGCCTTATCTGTATTGCCATCCCGATAAAAGCTAACATCCTGTTTCTGCTGCATCACATGAGTGTTGTTAGTCCAGGTGCTGCTGATACCTACTCCCACTTCCTGCTTCAGCACTTGCAAGTTCCTTGAGAATCATAATGTTTAAGAACTTCAGATACAGCACCTTTAGGCAGAAAAATCAAGACCCTTTGGCATTTCCTGAAAAACTGGCTCACTGTTATCACCTGGTGTGTATCAGACTCACCTTAATCTGCAACGCTCTGCACAGTCAAGTGCAGTGCAACTTGCTCTAGTTAATACTAGCTTTGGATGTAGTTCCATTAGTTTTTGACTTTCAGGGAGAAAAATTCTGTCTGCCATTTATGTGTTCTGCAATAGCAGGTCTCTGACCTCATGACTTGGGTGGAGTAAACAGCTTTGTTTTACCTGACTTTGGTCCTCAATTTTTATTGCACTTTGCCTGTGGGTTTTTCCCCCCATGGGTCTTCATAGGAGACAGCTTTGACTTGTTCCCTTATGAGTACCTTAAGATCTAAGCAAAATGGAGATTTTTAGTTCTTGGCTCACCAGGTGGATCACTCTAAGGGAGGCCTCACAGGCATTGCTACATCTAGATAACGTGGTAGGTTGGGAATTTGGCTTTGAGGTTGTCCTCAAGGATAATGTAGATGCATGCTGTAGGAAGTAATAGCTAATTTACCTGTGATTGGGAGTCAGAAATTGTGGTTCTATTACATGATTATGACTGGAGGCAAGTTACTTTTTCTCACTGTGTTAGATCCTCAGTTGTGTAAGTTTTACCTAAAATGAAATCAAAGGCATAGTGTCAGTTTATGCTCTATGGCCATCCAGTTCCCCTCAGTATGCTTCCCCATCCCTTTAGAATAACATAAAAATAATTGTTTGCAATACCATACCTGAAATAATGCAAAGCAATTCTTCAAGAATTCCAAACCAAAACAGTCTGGTTCTGAAACTTCAAAAGTTTCTGCATTGAAAGTGTTCTTGAAGATCAATAAGAATAACAAACATCCCTAGGGCAATAGTGTGCTTCTCACTTTACTGTGTACTGAAGTTGTACAGCCCTTACTTGTCCTCACACACATCCAAGAAGTGAAGAAAGAAACTTCTGTCATGTCTTCATTTTTTATTGTTTCATTAAATGAAAATGCAAAGTTTCTTCCCTCTTCTACATAGAGTTTTTCATTTGTACTGAAACGGTCTACTGTGATTTTCTGCCTGTTACAGTTGGTGAAGTTCTGCCCCAGTCTGCAAACTTTAATAACCTAGCACTCTTTCCAGAAGTGCTGGTGGAGTTGTGTCTGAATTGACTTCCCCAAGGCTGCTGAAGCTTGATTAGAAGTATTCCTCATGCAACTGAAAGGGGAGATTCAATGATTTTATAATTTGTATTTCAGAAGCCAGCAGATATTTTTGAAGCACTGTATTCTCATCCTACTTTAAAGAAAAATTACATACCTTGAAGCACACCCTTTTCTTCAAAGCACTTTATCATC